CAACCTCACCACTGTACCATTAATCAAGTTTCAAATCCCATCTTTTCTTCCTGTCCATTTCTGTTCTCCAATAATAAGGTTATTTCTTAGGTTGATGCTGACTAGGTTGTAAACCTACCTAAGGGCCGTCCCGGTGTACGCAGTAAGAAGACAAGACAGGCACTCCGCAGGTGTAGGGGCATCAAACTCAGCGAGCCCAAGAGCGGAGCTGAGTTTGGTAGAGACTGAAGGGAGCCTGTCCTGCCGGTCCCTGCTATGGTGAGACCTGCTAAGGCAGCCCTAGTGTCAGGCAAGCTGTCCCGCCTGCCAGCAAGTTTGAGATTCTCTGGGCAGCAAGAAAGCTGAATGATCAACTTCAAAATATTAATATCATGACTGGTACGGGGCAATCCAGGGCTAATCAGCCACTGATACCATGACTCTGCCATACTCAAGGATTCTTGCTTCAGAAGGCAAAACTTTTCCGCTGTTTCCTAGTTCACAGATCATACAAGGCAGTGTATTATAGCTGGAATTAAGAGCAGTTCATCTGTAAGGGCTTGGGGAGTCCCTCAAGAAAGAAATACAGATTCACAGCCTTGTTATGCACAAGGGTGCTCATCATCCAGCCGCCTGGCTTCTTCATCACCTTCATGTCCTACCACCACCTGAAACATCTGGTCCGCATCCATAGCTTTAAAACTAATAATGTTTTGACTATCAGGGCAACTACATTCGTGTGAGCCAGGCTGACTCTAACATTAACTTGCTGATTTAAAAATTTAAAACATATTTGTGGACAAGAATTTATCAAAAATTGAAGGTCAGGAACCTGCAACCTTTTGAAGAAATTTCTGAAGGGGCACTGAGCATCCTGCATATCCATTTTTTTCTGCATTCTACAAGAAGGAGAAGTTAACATAGTATATTCTCTAGTCAAAGGACTACTCTAATAATGGATTTATCAACCCTGGGACCAGCATCTCCCTCTGTGAGATTTATGAAACGGGTGTTTTGCCCTGATTCCTTATCAGACTATTAAACAAAGGGAGAGAACAGGTAGAATAGGTTTACGGCTACAGGAAAAGACAGGTGATTTACAGATTCAGACCTGGTTCAGTTAAGAACCAGCCCAGGTATTTCATTATTTACCATTTTTATTATTATTATTTACAGAACAGATTTCAACTTATCCATTATCCATGTCATATCTGCCCTCTGCCTTTCTCAGTAGGGATTATCTTGTATGTACACAGATGGCTACAGAGCTTGTCTGTCTCTCATCCTTACCTAATCATTAAGGTTCAACAAAAGGTGAACACCACAATTATGAAAGAGCTGACAGAATGTTTAAAAAGCAACAATAATCAATAGCAGCAAATGTACAATTTGAGTGATTAAACCTGTGCCATTCATCACCTAACAAAATGAGAGTGAAATAAAATACGGAAGAAACACCAGAAAGAAGTCAAATAGGAATTGTATGCTGATTCTTTAGGATGCCAATAAAAATAATGTGATATTCTAGAAGATTCAGGCATATTATTCTCACTGGCTGTCATACTACATTGCTGGTCCTCAACTCAAAAAATCCTCAGCAGTTTGGTATGTTCAAGACAGTTAATGAACAAATGGACTATATGCCTTTTTAATACCATATTTCAAAGGACTTAAGAGTGCTAGGGGTTCTGTCTCAAAGGATGCCCTATTACAGGCGAATGGTAAGAGAATTACATTTAAAGAGAATTAATATGTATGTTAGTTGACAACAAACAACAACACAGACGGTTCTTCCATCTTCACTATTTACTTGTGATTTTTTTTTTTCCCCAAAATGCCAAGTTTTGATAATTACCATGGAGTAACCGTCTGGCATTCCTTGTCCAGAATGCTCCATCCAGAATAAAGCACTCTTTGTTTCTATCATTCCTGTACTGGTCAACATGTTCATGAGACCGTTCTTCTCCAGTTCCCTGGACACACACTACCTGGAGACACAGACCTTGTGGTGAGAAAGCTGGCAGGGAAATGGGAAGAGTTTTGAATAGTGCCTACGCAAGAAATTCACAAATTACAGTGGAAACTGATGAAGAACACTATACCATACAAATATCTGCCTCTTCCATGGAGTTTAGTGGATGTTTCAGTTTCTGTCAACAAGGCAAGACATTGCTGTATGGCTATAAGAAGCACTGCAAAGCAATCATGGTAAAAGGCCAATATTTTTTTATAACCCTGGACAAACATCTTTGCCTGTATTTCATCAGTCTTAAGAGACAGGATCATGCATTGCAAATATCCAAAGGGTGCTCATGAGTTCTTACAGTGTTCTCAGATTAAATGTCTTCTCCCATGCTATTCCCATTCTGCTAACAAGGGCTGGCTGGGTCCCATGCACAGCTTACCCAGTATTACCAAGCTTCTGTTATGCTTTAAAATTAGAAAAGGTGTTATTAAAGTGTCAGAAATATCAGCCTTTATGGTACCCACACATCCATAAAATACACCCTACAGCTTTTCTCATCAATATCCTTGAGTGCTCTACTGTGACTTGTGTTTCCATTCCATTATTGGTGTAGGGCCCTGCAGGGGTCTCAAAAGCTGGAATTGTAATATGCCACAGGAAAAAAAAATGCACTGGAGAAAGGTGAGTGCAGCAAGTATCCTAGTAACTTCAGCAGAAGGTAGGCATTTCCAGTGTGCCTTGACACCGATACATACGTTTAAGTCTTTCCATTGCAGCATTTTATAACTCAAAAAAAGAAAACAGGAAGCTCTAAATTGGCCAATATTCTGCTTTACAACTTACAAATCCATAATAGCTGGCAGAAAAGACTGGAGAAAACAAAGATGGTGCAGAGGTGGTATGTGCCAGTCTATTAAAAAACAAAGCTCTGCCTAATGTTAAAGCAGTAAAATTGTTCTTTTGAAAAATTAACCTGTAATTGAAATATTTAACAGCATTTCTGTTTGGTACTTCTAAACATGAAGTTACATGTCCCTCTAAGAAGCCCAGCAAAACTAGTTCAAATTAACCACAGTCTCCAGAAACAGAAAAATAATATAACACTTTCTTTTCATTGTAGTTATTCCTAAATGAAAGAGTAGAATTTATTTTTTTATTTGAAATTTGTAAATTTCAAAGTGGCTTTTCTAAGATCATAGGGAAATATGAAGTACCAAACTAATCTAAGTTACATGTCTTGAAAGGTCTGCACCTGAATCATCATTTCCTAAGCACAAAGCGAAGTACTACAAAGGATTGGAGATTTGTGATACCCCAGAGTTTCTTCCCTGACACTCCCATTAATGCAAAGAAGGTTAAAACTATTCCCAGTCTGTCAGTAATTAGGGGGCCCCTGTCATTTATCTTTGCTTTCTCTCTTATCCATTATCCCAACACCTGTTGCCTTGTAAAATACCACCTACCAATAACTTTATAGACTTCATGTGACCTTTGAGCATAGAATTTGGTGCTTCTAGAAAACAGGCTTTTTTTTCATCTTTCAATGGAAATGAAAAGAGTGAGTTGATTTGTAGCAACTGCCAGGAGAAGCTACCTTTGTTCTTATGAACTGTTTTTTGCCACTATATCACTTGATACTAAAGTGATCATGAGCATGTATGAGAAGAACTAGTGTTTTCTGGAACCGCTGGAACTTGGAAAGAAATCTGTTATCTTTTCATTGAGGGATGGAGTGAATAAAAACTGCCACATCTCAGATTAGGTAAATCAGACTACCTCTACAGCCTCAACCCTCAATACTCCAGAACTTGTGCGACTGCACATCGGGGTCCCCTCTGCAGACCTGAAAGCCCCATCTCTTATCAACAAACCAGCAGAGATCACCCCCAGCTCAATAGCAGGAACTAGTCCGTGAAAACAGTCACGCAAAAGAATTAGATATACAATTTCGATTTGTTAGGTGGCCGCAATTCCAGATGGAGAGAGCTGTTTCAACTGTGATCTACACCTTGGTAAGGAAAGCATTAGCCATTACAAGCGAAAAGAAGTATTTTTGGTGAAATAAAGAATCACAATGTCTGAGTAGTTCTAAAGTTGGTAAATAACAATAATCGCAATTAGCAGTTCTGCGGGTCTGGAAGTGCAGAGAACACGTTCAGCCTTCACTAAGGGCATAATTAACTGGCCACCACTAGGCAAACATCCAGGTTACGTTTTTTTTAAATGCTCCACGATTGATTTTTGGTTTTCTCTCAGTGCTTAATAATAATGTGTCAATATTTTCTAATACACTGTCTAAAAACAAAAATAGGGCACAGCTAGACTTTAGACAAGTATACTTCAGTCCTAACGATGGAGAAATGTGAAGGGGAGAGAAAAGGAAACGCACAACATTTCTGTTTGCACTTGGAAGTTGGGTATCTAACATTTGTTTAGGTAAGAAAAAGGCTAAAGAATCAGGTATTTTTCAAGCCCTATAGATTGCATTGTGATGGTGAGGCAACCCATTGGAATGCATTTATGTAGAACCCACAGTTGGCTATATACTGTATTTTGTGTTTCCCAGGTGACTAAAAATTACTCAGAAGTCATGCCATGACTTTTATTTCTCTTCTCACTCTTAAATGAATATGGAGTCAGAATTAAAAAAATGAAAAAATTGTGATTCAGGAAGTCCTTAAGCACCAGACCAAACGTAAGAGTTCTTGTGATTCAAGTAAGACACACACCACATTGAACTGAGTGTCCAAGTACACCATTTCACGCAAGAGCAAGAGTGACTTCTAAACAGTGGAAACGCCGTGAACTCAGCTTCTGCTTCCAAGAAGTCAGTGTATTGGTCAAAAAGGGCATGACCGAGCCTTCCATGGGAAGTTAGGTTTCCCCTCATGTGGTTTCACCACTGAATGAAGCAAACTTCAGAAGTTAGCATCTATTTCCCAAGGTGCTGAAAGTTTCTGTCCCCCCACTCCTTTCAGCAGATCATTTGCATCTGTCAGACACTATAGTTGTAAAGCAATATTAAAAACTTGCAGAACGCCAGACAATTTCTTACCATAGCCAAAGGGAGAACTCCTACCAGGTCCTTCTGGCTTACGTAGATCTTGGAGATTCCTAGATCAGACGTTGTATCTCCAGGATATTCTACCTGCCACGTGATGAGCTGGGTCCCAGGTAGGTCAGTTAGGTCTTCAATTTCGAAATCAATCTGCATGATTTCAGAGGAAGGACCATCCGCACTGCAAGAAAGAAAGAAAAAGAAGGGTTCCATTCACATGACGGATAAGCCAGCAATAGAATTGTTTTTATATTAATAAAACATTGGATTAAGGCTATTCCAACGAGAGGATTTGGTGGGATGATGGATTTAATAAATAATTAATCATTTGCACTTGTCTTAACATTTCAGGGTATTTCCCATACGTTCACGTGGCTGAGTAACACTCTGTGACATGGATCACTAAGCACCGCTGCCTTGTACAGGTGGGGAAACAAAAACAAATCAAGGCAAAGCTAAGGCTAAAGCTACAGCCTAAAAACCCTGACTATGAGGCTCTCCCTTTAACAAACACATTGTATTTCCTCACTGTTAAAGCAACACGTGAGCAAATCTAAAGGGAATTGCCCCCTGAAATGGGAAACCACTGCATTTAAAGTATTTTCTACTTTTTAAAAAGGGAGGCATGGAAGAGAGGTCAAAGCTCAGGATGGGGTCCGTCAACCAGGGCAGAAGGCAGCAGAGGACTGGAAAACTTGGAATTAATTTTTGGCTATGCTGCTACCTTGCTGTGAATGTCTGTCTGAAGCTCTTTTTGTCCTTTGCTAAACTAGGAATTACAACTAATTTAGCTTGTTGCCGGAGAAGAGACTTACAAAACTAGATTATTTAATATTGGGCAATCCTGCCAGGATCCTTGAGTAAAAACACTGGAAAAGAACAGTTACTAGACACGATTCTCCAGGATACTATGGCAACATGGGGGTTACTGATACCTTATCGATGCTATTTTATCTTTACATGCTGTCCTTCCTAAAGTTACATGGTTCATTTAAGTGAATACCATAAGCAGAAATGTAAAGAGGGAAAACTGGAAAGGGGCTCATTGGTGCAATTCCCGCAAAGCTTGTTATAAAATCAGCTACTGTATAGAAAGCAATGCCGTGAAGTTCCATTGTGTATCTTGGCAAGGTGAGCTCCATAGTCCAGTGGCATTTATAGAGACAAGAAAATGCTCAATTTACTGTAAAGTTGTTGAGGAATGCAGAATTTCTTAGCAGTGCAGAAATCCAGGGGACATTGAGAATGACAGTGCTTTTACTTCTGAAGCACTGAAGGCTGAACAGACCTTCACTGTTTGTGTGGAGGGGAAAGGAAAGCAGAATTTCTTTCAGTGGGATAATATTCAAGGAGAGAAAGAACAGCCCAACATTGAAGTGTCACAAGCCACTTAAGTTGGAGAGTGCAGCTAGAAGAAAGAGGAAACATTTCAGCAACTGATTAGAGAATCCCAGAATGTGCCTAAAACACAGCAGGTTTTCCCAGCTGATGTGGAAAAAGAGCTAAAACTAGGCAAATTTTTTATGAAGACAGGCAATGACAACAGCCCCAGTTTAGGATTCTTCCCAAAACACTCAGGTATTTTTATCACGCTGGCTAAATCCAATGCTTCATCCAAAGCTACTGCTGGAACAGTTTAATCTGATCATCTTTAAGGTTTGGATTTTAATGGATGTATTCAGACCTTGCTATCCTGGTTGGAATTTAAAAGGAGCCTCTGTGTTTCCAAAATGGAACACATTGTGTTCAATTTCTCATTTCTTCATGTCAGAAAAAAAAAAAAAAAAAAAAAAAAGGAGCACAATTTCTAAACTAGCACTGAATGGAGTCTTATTTGATGCCTACCTAGGTAGGATCAGAAAGATGCTTTATGCCGCTGTGGCTATTGAAACTCAGTTACCTTAATTGTATACTTGGCAGCGATCCTGTTTTGTACGGCATGTTCCATCACGGTTTCTGTGTTTAAAGAACTAATTGAATCTTCACATAATGAACCTTGGTTTTGTGATTCTATTCAGGGTGTCTGTCTTTATTATTGCACTGGTGTCTGCTATTACCCAGTCACCGCCTTTGCAGAATTGGTGCTGCCACCAGAAATGTGTCCTGTAACAGCAGTGAGGGACTGCTGTGCAGGAGGGGACTGTGGGGCAGAGTACTACAGAAAAAACAGACGATTGTCAAAAAAGGCAATCAGCTTCATCTTTCCAGGTACGTTGGGGATTAGGAGAAAAGGAGCAAAGCGATTAGGACACAGGAAAATGAAGGAGGGAGTGAAAGGCAGTGGAAAAGAGTGAAGTGGAGCGTGGCCCTTATGTTCTTGAACTACAGCTCCCATATGGCACAACTACAGTAACCCCAAAAGAATGGAAATATTTCTTTTAATTTCTCCTTCAAAGCAGGTATTTTAATGCAGCATTTATTATAGCCAAAAAACCCCACTTTGCTACCAAATGTGATTTTGATAGAAAGTGTTTGAACCAGTTCCTCTTAGAAATACTAAACACTTCCAAATGACAAGATTACAAAGCACCTCAAAAATCAATAAGAATGTCATTACTGCTACTAAAGATGTATTAAAAAAAAATGTGAAAGTATTGCATGACCTACGCTCAGACCCAGGCTGTCTGCACCAGGTCAGGAACTTTTCTTTAATTACTTCACTCATCACTTACTATGATGATCTTTCCATGTGCAAGTCCCATGGATCTGTGTGCCCAATTTACAGCCTTCCCAAGCAATATTTAGCAACCGAAATCTTTCAACAGAGAAGTAAGCCAAAAAGTTACCCTTCAGAAAATACAGTTTAAAAATGTAAATGGAGAAATTTGGACAAATAGCATTCACCACCAGAGTTCAGCCACACAAAAATATTTATGACTTTTCTTTTAAGGTCAAGGCTGTTTGGTACAATAGGAATATTTCTATAGGGTAGTCAGCAGCTGCTACTTGAAAGGATGCACTGCCTAATCCTCCTCAAGGTAGGCATGCACTTTATGGCCACTATAATGCAATAGCGTATTGGCAGCTTGTCTTTGCTAACGCAAAAACCATTATTGCTATCAAGAGTACAGCAACGGTGTTAGTTACAATATCAGAGGGTACACAATTAGAAAGTTTAGAATAGACAAACCCAAAGGTTCACAAAAGCAACACAAGCTGAGCTGAAGAGTGGCCAAAGCAAAACAGTTCTTGGTGCTAATTTAAAGTCAAATCCTTCACATGGGGTTTTGCTGTTTGTAGTTGAGAGTTAAACTGTAATGGAGTTCACTGCGGTGCCAATAAACTTTCCTGGTGAAGAGGGCCCTGCTGAGCTATGTGTTGTGTAGACACATTTTTAAAGGGTTCTCAGCCCAATCTGAAGACAAGGAAGACAGAAAAAAAAACCAATTTCATTGAAATGGAGTAGTCTGGACTATCCTCCTGTCAGCCAGGACAGCACAGGCACGTTCCTACTGTATTTCTTAATCTGCCTTTTATTTCCTGTCTAATAAAAGCTCGAGCAGGTCTGACAAATTAAGAGCAATGGGAAACTCTGTCCTGTCTCCAGGGGAGTATTTCCCATCTCCACAGAGCCATTCTGCACCTCCTGCTTCTGACACATCCCTGCTAACACCTGTGCCATTGGGTCAAGGTTCTTCAGAGAAAGAAACACCCACTCCTCTGGGTCTCTGGGGATGGTATGTCCTGCAAGACACGATTTTCAAGAGGAGACTGTAAATCCAAGAATAGCTACTGGATGCTGGCAGTGTTAGTCAATTCAAGTATCCCATTCCTGAGTTCACTGACTGTGGTATCTGCTTTGATCTTTATATAAACCTCACAAAACAAGATTCATTCTGAACCTACTAAAACGACCAGGCATGTAATGTTTCTCATAATACAACGTATAAAGTTTTATCACTGTCTTTAGAAGGCTATAACGGACACAAGAAAGCCTAAAGCCATGAATATGCTAAATAAGATGTATCATAGGAATGTTAATGAAAGAGCCTTGGGGAGAAGAGAGAAGAAGGTAATCTGCATTCTTTTCTACCTCCACACATGTACCCAGGTCTCCAGCACATCTCTTGCAGGGTGTCGAAAGAGTCTCTGGCCTGAAACGCTGCACAGCCCGGGCTGAGAGGTGCAACAGCTGGGCTCAGAAAAGGAAAAAAAATGTTTCCAAGGATAACTGGAAAAACTGTCTAGCATGAGAGAGGGGAGACAGCAGCAAAGCTGACCCCATGAGACCTGAGGGAGTTTGTGAAAATTGTTATCCTCATTTTACAGGAGAGAAAATTAAACCGACAATTACTTTCCCATAAAAACAGGGATAAGATGATTTATACACCACAAAGCGTATAAGATGATTTATACATAGAAAGTGGTATATAACCACTATTTCAGAAATAAAGTGATTTAAAAATGAGTACAAATCCTTGGGTAAAAGTAAGATAATATGCTATGTTGTCATACTGGATAATAACACCGTGCTGGCTATTTCCAGCTCTATCAGTTGGGCTGCAAAGAGATTTTCAGGCTTGCTGTCATCTGTCCTGCCACTACACAGAGCCAACAGTGGCAATACTTGTTAAATATAACTTCTTCCTTGTGTGGTAAGAAATAATGTAAAACAATATGAGACGTAGAATAAAGGCATAACAAAAAGCAGTGACAACAAAACATTGCAATTTAGTAACAGAGCTCCACAGTTTTCTGAAACAATTCATTTCTGATGTATTTTTTTAAAGCTTTTTCTATAGTATTTTCTTCAGAATTTAAACAATTTCAGTAAGAGTAGTTTTACAAAAATCCCATCCCCTTTGGAATTGCAAGCCATTACTCCTAATATTATCACTAAAAGGTACTTGTTTCCTCACCAAACATGAGGAGGTCAAAGGGACTACAAAGGACCACGAAGGAATCAGCCTTTCCTTTGTTACGTTTCCTTTTTTGTACCGCCTTCCCTTCTGCTTAATAATCTCTCTCCCACCCTAGAGCTCCCCTATAGTGCACAAGGATTACATTATGCTCCACTATAGCAGCATATCCTCAGCAGTGCCAGAAGTCTGTGGACTTTGTCCATTTTGCAACGCTACTGACAGCATGCAACTTGAGCAACGCGGTGTCTTCCCATCTAAATAGATTTTGGGTGGGGAAAAAAAGGGAAACGGAAACTAAAAGAAATTAACAAGAAAAAAA